CAAATCTTTAATTTTCTATGCCCAGTCAAAATACGGAAAATCGGCCGCCATCTTGCCCCACGACCGAGTTTAAAGAGGAATGGCTCTAGTGGGTAATGTGACGTCAAATCGAGAACACGAAAGTCTGCATTTCACACATTTTCACTTGTTTGGGAAGGTTGTAGTCGATAATTGTCCGAAAATATGCCGACTAAGTGTGTTGTAGAAGGATGTAGCAACGTGCGAAATTTGCAAGAGGGTATCGCGCTTCATACATTCTTCATACAACACACCTAGTCGGCATATTTCGGACAATATCGACGACAATCTTCCCAAACAAGTGAAAATGTGTGAGATGCAGACTTTCGTGTTCTCGATTTGACGTCACATTACCCGCTAGAACCATTCTTCTTTAAACTCGGTCGTGGGGCAAGATGGCGGCCGATTTTCCGTATTTTGACTGGGCATAGAAAATTAAAGATTTGAGCAAATTAAAAAATTTTTGCACAGAAATACTCCAAAAAATAAGCTTATTTCGTTAAGCGCAAAAAAAATTTTGGGTGTAGGTGCACTTTAAGAACTCAATTTGTCTCGAGAGACACTCCATAATGGTTTGTTGCTCCCTTCTTGTACTCTGAAAGTTTTCCCTGCTATCCCAGGAGTTTGAAATTTTACCGAGGAATGAACTTGTCTTAGCAGGTATCTCTGAGATTTTACCGTTAAATTTTGAATGTGCACTATATCTAGTTGTGGGAAGTAGAGGTGAGTTACCCGTCAAAGGGGAAAGCAATTAATTTACATCCCTTTTAAAGCGATCCCAATACACCGAATCGAAATATGGCGTCCAGTTTGAATTGCCATTGTTCTGGACTGACTAGCCTCTCACACGTGTGAAAATCCTTTTGTGTTTCCACGTCAAGACGAGGCTAGTAAGTCCAAACAATGGTAATTGAAATTGGACGCCATATTTGGATTCGGTGAATGAAAAGAAGTATTGAAGGAATGACTGTCGTTTCGCCAACGTGTCAGTTCACAAAGATCAGTTCGCCAACGTATGAGGTCGATTCGTCCACGTCTAATGTCAGTCAAACAACGCTTATATATGTCAGTTCGCCAATGTCCATGATAATTGTAATTACAGATGACCATGGGAATAAAATTTCACTTTTATGTATTCACGTGTTTTTGTAGGTTAGTATCGTTTGAAATCGTTTGTTTCACTCTTCCTAGTCTCTCTTTTCCACGACGGCCGATCGTGTTTGAAAAAGACCTTAAAAGCCATCCAACGGACTTTGTTTGACTTTACTTAGGCACATCGGGCAAACTACCCCTGGTATTTACACATTCCTTGCATTTTCATATGATTCATTCTTCTTAATTTGCATATTTTCCTTGCCATGCTTTATTTAATCAGTTTTTACGAAGTCATGTGGAACAGCGGTCCCCGCTTTTGTAGGGAAGGAACAGAGGAGAGGGGAGAGGGGGGTATCTTACGAAAGACATTTCAACCTCGTCGTAAGAAATATTAGATATTAGTGTCTACTAAAACAGTGGATAACGTTGAAGGCGCGCTCTGATTGGCTAGTCAAACTCCGAATATCCTTTGCTATTTACCTCGAGTAACTCGGGGAAAAAATGACGTCCCGGTTTGCATCCGTGACAAGCGAAGAAATCCCTCAAATTAACGACGAAGCAGTCCCTGATGACACAAAGAAAGCGACTAAATTTGGTTTGGCCGTGTTTAAAGGTAATGGTTTAAGTCTTTAGCCCGGAGTTTATCGATAAAAAACAACGAGGAAGGTTTTGTTTACAAGTGCAAATTAATCTTGCGTACCCTCATCTGTTCACCTGAAAATCAAAGTTGAATGACATTTTTTACAGGATGGTTTCAAATACAGAAAGAGTTTGCAACACCATTTCAACAAATGTCGCCACCAAAACTGAACAAATATCTCCAGAAATTTTATCTATCAGTAAGAAAACGAGACGGCAGTTTTTACAACAAAAAATTGCTTACCGCGATCCGAGCGGCTTGTTGTTTCAGGCCTTTCCGCGCGGGAAAATGTTGGAATGTGTGAATTTAAATCACTTTTTCGTGGTGCATATTATCTCACTGTTTAGCTCAATGGATAGAGCACTGGACTGTTGTGCGGGAGGTCGAGGGTTCGAGCCCCGTCCGGACCAACACTCAGGGTCTTAAAATAATTGAGAAGAATTTGCTACCTTTCTATAACATCAAGAAATGGTTAGATATTCTAGTCTTCTCGAATAGGGACGAATAAATGGAGGTCCCGTCTCTTGTAGGGTTAGGGGCGAGAGACGTTAATTTCCCACGCACGAGATTACTGTGTGATGGATGTCCTCCCCTGGGCTGGGATGGATGGGTTTACTGGGCCCGCGCCAATTGGCGCAAGCTGTTGCGGTGTGCCTGCCAGTCGGCGAAGCTATTATATAAATAAATAAGTAGTGTATACTGAAACAATTATTGACCTCAGTGTCGGTGGTTAGCGGTGGATATTTACCTCGCCGTTTCGCGGCTCGGTAAATATCCACCACTAACCGCCTCTACTTCGATGAATAGTTGTTAAATATCACGGGGCAGATACCTATGAGAAACTACAGCTCTTGTTTGGACATTAACACAGTATTATTGCAGCCCTTAGCGCAGATAGCAATCATCTGATTTCTGAGAAAAAATCTTATTTATCAAGACTGTTCTTCTTACACATGGATTTTAGAACTTCAAGGGCAGGGAAATGTAATATCTTTTAATGAGCATTGTATAATTTCGTTTATTCCTTCAACTCCAACTGATCCTTCCTTGAAAGAACAACCATAGGAGCCATTCGTGTTTACACAGGTCGCATTTACACCACAAATGAAGCGGTCATTTACACATTCGTCAACATCTACGGGAAAAGAGCAAATAAGTAAGCCCTAAGAGAACTATTCAAAAACTTCATGATGGATATTTGCTAGCCAACTTCACTTACGGCGTGTATTATTCTGAAAGCCATTGGTATTGATGCAGTTGGCATTTGTGTCACAAAGGTGGAATTCCTAAATCCATCGATATCTCAGTAAATATTTGAAACTACAGTAGTATCAGAGCATCAGATATTGTTCATTAATTACATCCTCTCTCGCAGCGAGTAGAACTTCTTCGGACCTGACAATTCTGAGGTATTAAGAAAACTGCCAATCTTTTTGCAGGGAGTGATTCAGGCTATACTCATGGTCTTAAAATAAGTGAGGAGAATTTGCTACCTCTCTATAATCAAGAAATGGATAGATATTCTAGTCTTCTCGGATAAGGACGAATAAACCGTAGGCCCCGTCTCCTGCAGGGTTATGGGTGGGAGACGTTACATCGCCAGAGATCGAGGACATTTTGCTCCCGCATTTATTGGTCAGCGGATTGCAGTCGGATGAAAACAAAGATGGCGGTTAAGACAAATTCCATATAAAATATTGAACGATTTAAGTTCTGTGGACCTTCTTTATGGAGAAAAAAGCAAAATAAAAACAACTTTGAACTGATCTCTTGGTATTTTTAAGGTAGAGCAGCCTATAGCAATTTGCTGTCTGATGTAATGCAAGGGACACGCTGTACTAAGCTTCAATGTCCACTCAAACTGGCTTTTTTTGTAATCGTCTAAGATGTCAGACATCTTCCAAATTGTAGCTTAAACCACATGCATTAAATAATGGGAAGATCTAGGCAAATCGTACTTGAAAAGGGATATTTCTCCCAGTTGAAAACACAGTTCAACGAACGTAGTAATACAGTTCTCTCTGATCTGCCTCTTAATTTTCGCGCGAGAGAGTTTTTATTCAAAGCTCTACTTTAGTATGAGGGGGTCTGGATTGAGTTTATTTTCCATCAAACATTGCTGAATTAGAAAAACAAATATGACGACAGTTTGAAGGTTTCGGGGATGGTTTTTCTTTTAACGCTTTCCCTTCTGGTGCGTCCTCAAGGATGGTCTCAGATCACAGACTCCACAGAGCAAAAATAGCAATTTTCAAGCTCTTTTGGAAGTATCT